AAGCCATCATGGCTCCTTCTTCTCTCCCCTTTCCATTTATCAAATCCTCTGAACCATTTTTAATATCTGGTGATGTGGCTTTAAAAGCAACATGACTCAAGATTCGACCCGTTTTTAGCCCATATTCTACCATCTCCCAAATTTTGATAGACTCAGCGAACGGCTTACCCACAGCAGACATCATGTTCTGGAAGTATTCATCCTTTTGGGCCTGCAGAAAAACCGTGACCATTTTAGTTTCGTCCATTGGAAGTTTTACCCTAGCAGCTTCCTCACGCCATTTGACAACATATTCGCGGAAGCTTTCCGTGATTTTCTTTTTCAAATTAGACAAAGAGTTTCTATCGGGAGCGATGTCCATATTATATTGGAACTGGCGAATAAAATCTCGGGCCATATCGTCTCACATGTGCCAATGGGTAATTTCTTGATCCGTATACCACTCAGAAGCGATTCCGATGAGGCTTTCCCCAAAATAGGCCATTAGCAGCTCCTCTTTTCCACCAGTGTCCCTCAATTGGTTATAGTATCATTTCAGATGAGCGATGGGGTCTCCGTGCCCGTTGTTCTTTTCCAATTTGGCATTTTGAAGCCAACTGGAAAGTGGACGTGGGGAAACATACAGAGGTCAGAGTATGAGACACTCTTTTGGCCACTGAGACACTGCATGTTTTTCAGGCTTTGTTCTAGGCTCTTCATATTCCGAGCCATTTGCTCTTGCTCAGGATTTTTAACAACCTTTTCTTGCTCCCCCGAGAGATCATATTGCGGAGGTTGATTGAAAGAGTACGGGGTCACATATGTTATTTCTCATTGAAGTTGTGGACCCTGAAAGGTAAACATTGGAGGCTCCACATACGGTCTTGGTAAAGTTGGTTGTTTTCAAGTGCAGACTGGTGCTGCAGAGAACAATATTGGAGGTGCCCAGGAAACTGGCGTCTGGGGGCGAATCACAGAAGGCATGCCAGGATCATTGAACGGCACTGGAGGGTGCCCGCATGGGATGAGCGGATTGGTCGCAGGGGCGTTGGTAACCTCACCCGACCTGGGGATCAACTCGGGGAACCCAAGGATTGCACTTGGTGGTTCCTTACCATTAGACCAGGTGTCCCACATTTTTAATATGCGGAGATGCAACATCTTATTCTCTTCAGTAGCTGTTGATTCTAGTTGCAGAATAGCCGATGTCGGGCTATCCTCAGGACCGATGATTGGTAGATTGCTTGCGGAGGTCATCTGTGCCTTTGGATCTTGTGAAGGGGGAAAGGCTAGACTACCAACAAAACAAACCATCAAAACCTGGCTAGTTTGCACACCCAACAACCTTGTTAGTTTTGAGACGCTTAACAGATAGGAAACCGCACGTTTGGATGCAATACACCTAAACAGTTAAACGTTTCTATCATGTGTTTGCACGGTTGCATGTTTCATCCCGTCCTTAGTTAACCCTTTCAGTATGTACCCCTTATCTTTTATTTCTGCCTCTCTTAATCACTCTTGATTTTTTTTTCATTTCGTTTTTGTCGCTCTTTTATTTTTTTTAGCACTCTCTTTTCTTCTTTTTTTGTTTTTTTGTTTTTGTCACTCTCTTTTTCACTCAATTTTTCTTTCTCTTTTTTTTTCAATTTATTTTTCACTCAGTTAATTTTATGGCTATGATCGAATCCGATGAGGATTGCCTACGTATCATGACGCCGCATGAATCAGATATTGCATAGTTCGGGAAGATAAAAAATGAAGTAAATAAACTAACTTTTTTTTGTTGGAATTTTTTGAAAGAAATGCTTTAAAAGAAGAAAGGAAATATTTTTTGATTTGATTTTTGTTTTATTTTTGAAAGAAAGACTTCTAAAAATTCATTTGCTTTTGTTTCAGTGCCCACCAAACTTTATGTTCAAGTTCCACTGGTAAGTGGCAGGCCTTCCCAAACACCAACTTGTATGGTGATATACCAATTGGTGTTTTGAACACAGTTCTATAAGCCCAAAGTCCATCATCTAGCTTTTTCGCCCAATTAGTTCTTGTGGCGTTTATAGTCTTGGTCAATACACTTTTTATCTCTCTATTAGACAATTCCACCTGTCCACTAGTCTGAGGGGTGATAAGGTATTGCCACCTTGTGGCACACAACATACTTCGCTAGCAACTTCTCGAAGGCTCGATTACAGAAGTGGGTGCCTCCGTCACTGATAATAGCTCTCGGGGTCCCAAAATGGGTGAATATGTTCTTCTTCAAAAAACCCATCACCACTCTTGCATCATTAGTGGGCAATGTTGCAGCTTCTACCCATTTGGACACGTAATCTACAGCAACAAGTATATACTTATTGCCAAAAGAGCTGACGAAGGGTCCCATGAAGTCAATCCCCCAGACATCAAACACTTCCACCTCTTGAATCGGGTTCATGGGCATCTCATGGCGACGGGAAACGTTCCCGGTTCACTGACATTCATTGTAGCCCTTCACCCATTGATGTGCATTTTTAAACACTGTTGGCCAAAAGAAACCACTAGCACTTTCGCGGCTGTCCTGACTCCTCCAAAATTCCCTCCATACGCCGATGCGTGACATGCCTGCAAAACAGAAGATTGTTCTATCTCGGGGACGCACCTCAGGATCATATTGTCAACACATATTCAAAACAGGTAAGGGTCATTCCAATAATACATACGGTAGTCACGATAAAACTTCTTCTTTTGTATAGAGGATAGGTCATAGGGAACTATACCGCTGGCCAAGTAATTTGCAAAGTCTACATAACATGGCACTTCCTCAAGACTTGTAGCGAGCAATTGCTCGTTTGGAAAGGATTCCAGAATATCCTCAACCTCAACTGAGTTATCAGCTCCCTCAAGCCGTGATAGATGGTTAGTGACTTGGTTTTCTGTGCCCTTACAGTCATGAATTTCGAGGTCAGACTCTTGCAGTAACAGCACCCAACGAATCAGGCGCGGTTTAGACTCCTTCTTCTCAATCAAGTACCTAAGATCTGCATGATCAGTGTATACAATTACCTTAGAGCCAATCAGGTATGATCTGAATTTGTCGAAAGTAAACACCACAACCAACATCTCTTTTTCAGTCACAGTGTAATTTAGCTGGGCTCCACTCAGCGTTCCACTGGCATAGTAGATTGGATGCATTAGCTTGTCTTTCCTCTATCCCAGCACTGCCCCCACTGCATAGTCACTAGCGTCACACATGAGTTCGAATGGTTGCTCCCAGTCGGGGGCAACAATGATGGGTGTTGTGACTAGCCTCTTTTTCAACTCCTCGAATGCTACCATGCAATCATCAGAAAACAAGAAAGGGTGATCTTTTTCTAACAACTTNGCATAGTCACTGGCGTCACATATGAGTTCGAATGGTTGCTCCCAATCAGGGGCAACAATGATGGGTGTTGTGACTAGCCTCTTTTTCAACTCCTCGAATGCTACCATGCAATCATCAGAAAACAAGAAAGGGTGATCTTTTTCTAACAACTTACAGAGAGGGTTGGCAATTTTTGAGAAGTCTCTTATGAATCTCCGGTAGAAACCGGCATGCCCAAGGAAGCTCCTGATTGCCTTGACCGAAGTTGGGGGTGGTAGCTTTGCTATCACGTCCATTTTAGCACGATCCACCTCGATTCCTTTACTTAACACCCAGTGTCCCAAGACTATGCCCTCTTGTACCATGAAATGGAAATTCTCCCAATTAAGAACCAGGTTAGTCTCAATACACCGTTTCAGCACACGAGTCAGGTTTATAAGGCACTCATCGAATGAGTTTCCCACCACTGAGAAATCATCCATGAATACCTCCATTATGTCTTCTACTATGTCAGTGAATATGGCCATCATGCACCTTTGGAATGTGGCGGGTGCATTGCATAGGCCAAAGGGCATCCTCCAAAAAGCATAAATGCCATATGGGCAGGTGAAAGAGGTCTTCTATCTATCCTCTAGTGCAATGGAGATTTGATTGTACCCTGAGTACCCATCCAGGAAACAGAAGTGAGACCTCCCTGCCAATCTGTCTAGCATCTGATCAATGAAGAAAAGTGGGAAGTGGTCTTTCCGGGTGGCCAGATTTAACTTTCTATAGTCCATGCAAATTCTCCAGCCTGTGACGGTTCTTGTAGATATCAANCTCAATACACCGTTTCAGCACACGAGTCAGATTAAAAAGGCACTCATCGAATGAGTTCCCCACCACTAATAAATCATCCATGAATACCTCCATTATGTCCTCTACCATGTTAGTGAATATGGCCATCATGCACCTTTGGAATGTGGCAGGTGCATTGCATAGGCCAAATGGCATCCTCCGAAAAGCATAAATGTCATATGGGCAAGTGAAAGAGGTTTTCTCTCTGTCCTCTGGTGCAATGGAGATTTGATTGTAGCCTGAGTACCTATCCAGAAAATATAAGTGAGACCTCCCTGCCAATCTGTCTAGCATCTGATCAATGAAGGGAAATGGGAAGTGGTCTTTCCGGGTGGCCAGATTTGACCTTTTGTAATCCATGCAAATTCTCCAGCCCGTGACGGTTCTTGTAGAGATCAGCTCATTGTTATCATTTTGACCACCGTCATGCCACCCTTCTTAGGCACACATTGCACCGGGCTAACCCAGCTGTTGTTAGAGATTGGGAAAATGATTCCCGCATCCAACCACTTTATCACTTCTTTCTTCACCACTTCCTTCATGTTGGGGTTCAGCCTTCTTTGGTGTTCCCTGGAAGGTTTGTGTCCCTCTTCCAGCAGAATTTTATGCATACAATAGGCTGGGTTGTTCCCCTTAATGTTTGCCATGGTCCATCCAATGGCAGTCTTACAGTCCTTGAGTACCTGCAAAAGTTGTTGTGCCTGCACATCTAACAAACTAGATGAGATAATAATAGGTAATGTGGAGTTAGGTCCGAGGAACTCATACCTGAGATGGGCAGGCAGTGGATTCAATTCCAGCTTTGGTGGTTCTTCTATGGAAGGCTTGGCTGGAGGAGTTTCTCTGTTCTCTAAGTGCAGGGGCTCAAATTCAAGAGTTCTATCCCAGAACCCTCTACCTCTAAAGCCAACACCCATTCTGTCAGTTCTTCCCCATTCATCTCATCTAAATTTACCAGACATGCAGCAAGAGGGTCCTTAATAGTCAGCATCTCATCATCAACTTCTACGATTTCATTGATGGCATCAATAAGAGAACAGTTGTCGAATTCACTTGGTCGCCTCATAGATTTCTGCACATTGAATGTTATCTCTTCATCATTCAACCTCATCTTGAGCTCCCAAGTCTTACAGTCAATAAGAGCTTTCTCAGTGGCCAAGAAAGGCCTTCCCAAAATTATGGGAATCTTTTCATCCACTTTGCAGTCTAAAATCACAAAATCTGCATGGAACACAAATTTTCCTACCTGAATCAACACATCATCCAGGATACCAGAGGGTCTTTTCACGGTCCTGTCAGCCAGTTGCAACAACATCGAAGTGGGTATAGCTCTTCCAATCCCCAACCTCTTGTAGATCGCCAGGGGTATAAGCTTTATGCTAGCCCCCAAATCATAAAGTGCTTTGGCGAAAGCAAAGTTGCCACTAGTGCAGGGAATTGTGAAACTCCCTAGGTCAGACAGCTTCTCAGCAATCGGTCTAGTTACCATCGCACTGCAAGTCTGAGTGAGAGTCATCGTGGAAAAGTCTGGAAAATTAAACTTTCGGGACATCAAGTCCTACATCGTTTTTGCATAACCAGGCATCTCCTTCAAAGCATCTATCAATGGAATATTTACCTGGATTTGTTTCAGCATCTCTAAGAATTTCTTGTATTGTTCCTCTTTTTTTTACTTGGCCAGCCTATGTGGGAATGGTGCGGGGGTCTCTTCTTCCCAATGATTTGGGTATTTTCTTTGTCAGCTGCTTAGCTTCTCTCTCAGCCTTAATCTGTGTGTTATGTTCTTCCTGGGCAGGCTGTACTATCACCTCGATCAGTTTCGTTGACTCATCCAGTTCAATGGGCATCGGTACAAGTGTCGCAGCCTGTCTGCTTTCTCGAGCCCTCTCTTGCTCAAAGTCTTAATCTTTGCCATTACGTAGACTTACTGCCATCAGCTGCTTCGGGCCTTGATCTTTTGGATTTATTTGAGTGTCTACAGGTAATGTCCCATGAGGACGATTATTTAAAGACATCGAAATCTGACCCATCTGCACTTCAATGTTCTTGATAGCTGAATCAAATGCATCTACTCTTTCACTGATTTTTGCATTTGACCCAATAACCTGCTGCATCATTGCCTCGAGTCTAGCAAACCCATCTTCCTGTCATCCACCATGCTGCTACTGATTTTGATTATTGTATCCCTGTGGCATTTGATAAGGTGCCATATTATTGGGAGTTCTCATACCTCCCATGTTTCCATTGTTGAATTGTGGCTGAACCGGCCTGTACGACTGATTTTGTTGGCCCCAATTTTGACCACCCTGTCTCTGGCCTCCATAATTAGACACATAATTCATGTCCTTAGGGTAGTGATGATGATCACTTTCTGCATTCCACTGGTTACCAATTGGCTGACTAATGCAAGATGTGCATAAGCCCCCATTAGTGGTATCTACAATATGTACCTGCTGCTTCTGCCCTGACTCCTCCACCTTTTTAGTGAGTATACTCATCTGTGTCACTAACATGGCCATGTTTTCAGCAAGAGTGTTGGATGGATCCAAGGGCACTGAGTGAACTACTGGAGTGATAAGTGCATTCCTAGTCATCCACCCCGAATTCTGTGTCATCTTGTCTAGCAAACTCTGGCCTTCTCTCTATGTTTTGCTCAAGAATGCTCCACCAGCTGAAGCATCAACATTACACTTCACGCTATCTAACAATCCCATGTAAAACCGCTGCCCCAACATCAGATCTGGAATACCGTGGTGCGGACATATAACCAGCATCCCTTTGAATCAATCCCATGTTTTATGCAGTGTCTCCATTAGTCTCTGTTTGAAACTCAAAATTTCATCAATTTGTTGAGCAGTCTTGTTGGGTGGGTGGAATTTGTTTACGAATTGCTTGACTAACTCCTCCCAAGTTGTTATGGAATTAATGGGGAGTGAGTTTAGCCAGGTCTGGGCAGCTCCTGTCACTAAGAATGGAAACGATAACAGCTTGATTGCTTCCTGAGTTATGTTGGGCTACCTTTGAGTTTTGCAGATTGACAGGAAATTCTTCAAGTGTTGATGAGGATCTTCGACTTGTGACCCCGAAAATAGTCCCTTGTTTTGCAACAAGTGCAGCATGTTGTTCGTTATTTGAAATGATTCAGCCTGTATCTGCGGGACTAAAATCGATGTGGCCAAGTTCTCCGTTGTGGGTTATGCCCATCCATATAGCGCAGCCTCTGGCACAAGAGGTTCCACTGGCGCTACTTGCGCTACCGGCGTAGCTGGGTCTACTATGTGATCCCCCATGTCTGGTTCAAATTATTCTGTTGTTTGTTTTTCTGGTTGGCCCGATTCAAAGCCTTGAAAACTTTCTCGGGATCTGATAATGCTTCAAATACTTCACCAGTTCTCGATAAGTTTCTAGGCATGCACCTGTACAACCAAGTCAACAAACGTTAAAATTTCAATGTATAAACTAGGTATAGAGAAAACTGACTACACTAAGAATTTTTGTATTTCTTTCAATTGTAATTAATAACACCGTTAATTCTCCGGCAACGGCGCCAAAATTTGATCACGCCCAACTATGCCTTATAAAAAGGACATGCGGACGTTGCAAATATAATCTGAGTTTTTCGCCCAGAGTCGAACCCACAAGGAATTAACCTATCAATTACTCTCGTTAGACTTACGAAATTCTACGTAATCAACTTCTCAAATGTTGTGAATAACAATTGAGGATGTTTCTACTAACTAAGACTGACTATAAATATGCAAATAAAGACTAACTATGATTAAGTTGTAAACAATTAAGAGAAGGATCTAAGGTTATGATTTTCCCTATTGATGGAATCCCTTCCGATTATGTTTCACATAGATTCACCTAATCGTCTCTATTAATCATGAGCTCTCTTATTACCGTAAATCTCTCCCGAGTAATTATGACAATTTACTAGACGCACTCTCCTGAGTTACGCTAACTGGCTTTAATTACATCTCACTTAGATCGCACCCAAGGTTTCGTTATCTCTAATCCCACCTTTAAACCCTCGGTTATTGATCTCTTATATACTTTGGGAGTGGTGTTGTTCAACAATTACCTAAAATGCACTCTCTCCCGAGTTATGCACACTAAATAGGCACAGCTAATTGAGGATCATATCAATTAACTACAACAAGAATGTAGTTGAACAAATAGAGATTAAGCTGGCAAACTATATTAACATACCAGGAAGTTCATCCTTCAAAAGGTTCCATCAAAACCCTCAAGGAATTATCTACTCATACAAAACAAGATAAAACTACTAAATTGTTCATAATGTGTAATTGCAATAATAAAGAGAAGATAGAAAAACTCTAATATTTGGTTGCTCTTCTCACACTTGTTCTTGCCTCCAAAATAGTGTAAAAACAAGCTTTTTTTTCTTTCTTGGGCGAGCTTCTTGAGTTTATAAGGGTTTGGATTAAGTTTTCCCCGAGTTACACTTTGGTCCCAAAAGTTCTGGGCAACTGCACAGTTCACAGCGGCCGCGGCAGAACGTGGCATGACCGTGGTGAGAGACAAACATTCTGCCTCGCGTCTTTGGCCTGCCGCGGTCCAATCGTGTTCCAACCGCGGTCCACCGCGTTCGCGGTGGATTCCAACCCAGTCCACTTTTTGCTTCGTTCCGCTCGGGTGCTTCTTGATTGGACGTTTTCTTCACATTATTGATTCCAAAACACTCCATAGTTCTTCCTAATTTGGATTAGTCCCTGCGAAGCAAAAGAACACCAATTGGAGTATTTTGTTATCATTTAGCATTCAAAACAACAATAAAGCATGGTACATTTAGGATGTAAATATCGTCTATATAGCCTAATATCACACATGTTGCTAGTTGAGATGTCCTTAAGGTTTATTTGTATATTTTTGTTTAAGTAGTGGCATAGAGTGGTGAAATGTTTAACTAATATCTTTTTAGGTAAAATAGTCACTTGACGAAACAAAATCCTGATTCACAGGCATTTGTCATTTCTTATTCATTCTGCAGAGAATTTCTTTTATATATATGCCACCAAAGTGTGTGTTTGTACAATGGTATATAATTAATTAGTTCTAATAAACCCGTTTCTGAACCCAACAAAGAATCTTTTGACAAATTATCTCACATAATATTATATAAAATGAATATGTGTAGGAAACTAATCAATGCCGACGAAGAACATATAACATCTTAACCGCCAATGCTTTTTAATGAAAAATAAAATTTATGTGAACCAAAATAGTTCAAAATTATTGTTTTTAGTTGTTTCATGTTTGATATTCAGTTTGCAGCTCGCAGGTTTTGTGTTTTTTGTTGTTTAACTTGAAACATATGATGTATGCGGTAAAATTGGGTAACCATAATTGGACGAATGAGGAGATAACACATGGAGTAGAAGACATGTGAGATGTGAGTTAACAAATAGTTGATACCTGATGTGACAGGTGTTGGGTGAATTCCGAAGACAAAGTAGCAGATAATAAAGATTTGAAGAATTGATATCGGATAGCATTTAATGAGCGTCCGTTACAGAGAAAATTTGCATTTATAACCAACCATTATGCAGCCATCAATGACGTACGATTTTATTCTCATTCAAGAGAAGCTTGATTTAGAAATCTTGTCTTCCTGAATATAGCTATAAATAGGAGAATTAATATCCATCGTAAGACACGAAAACATTCTGTATACAAAAGCTTTATTCTGCTCTCAAACTAGAAAATTACACTTGCTTTCTTTTGTTCTTAATGTTGTTTATACTACTGTTTTCGGAGAAGCTCATCATACTAGCAGGCTTGTATATATCTCTTTAAGTTATTTTTATAATCTTATTTCTATTCTTGTTTATTTCACATTTTTTGGTCAAATTGATTCACTTGTTTATAAATCATGTTACAAATTTAACTGTACCGTTTTACGTGTAAACATATGCATGAAACATTGCTTTGCTCTTAAGAGTTTGTTTAATTAACTTTTAGCGTATAAACTAAACAAAATTATGATAAAGGTCTAACTTATCTAAATAATTACTCTCCTAAGTCCTAGCTACCTAAATCATGAGCTGTTCCAGTAGGCCTCTCCTAGCCAAGTTGGTCATTATCTAAAATCTTGAATCCCTAGATTTCTTTTTTATATACATCCACATTACAGTGCATAATGTACTTTTATAAGCTACCCCAAATTCTGTTTGTTGGTCTGTACATATGCTCTTTATTTTTTTAAGAAAATAATCTTGATATAATGTAAAAATATTTTTGGGGTTTGTGGAATTCACTTTTCAAGATGATGGCTTCTTATGAATTAAAGATGATTTGGTTTTTCTTGGGGTTTGAAAAGAATTTCTTGATATTCTACAAGGCTAAAAGTGAAGAAACTTCCTTAAGTGTGATTCCCATAACTTTCATGTCTTGTGTGACCTTTATAAAAGATAAGGGAAATACAACTTGTTTTTGAAGTATTTTGGAAGTTAGAATCCTCCTTTTGACAATATTCATGACATCAACTTGAAA